AAACAGTCTGGATGACCCCGTAACAGTACGAATGTCGAGATGACCAGCTGAATGCGATGGGTAGCGTAGGGGTGTTACAAGCACAGAGGTGCCCGAGCAGACAGTTTTGCATGACCGGATGGAACGGCATGTGAATGTGGTCAGTGTGGCAGAGTGGGCGACAACCGGGTTAGTGCATGTAATAAACCACTATTCACGGCAGTGCTAAAGGGTCATCAAATAAAGTGGTTGAAAAACGACAAGTTCAACTGCATCCTTTCAAAGAGAAGCTTTAGTCTTCCTAATCTAATAATTCAAGACGAGTGGCTAAAGACAGTGGAAGCGGAGAGATAGGGGTGAAAGGAAGATTGGCTAACACAGAGCAGCGACCCCGGATGTTGGCGCCAGCTGCCATGCGAAAGAGTCATTGTGGGAGTGGGTGGGACATGCGCAGTTTGCAGCTCCGATCGGGCTATCAATGGAGACCCGTTTCAACGACGTCCACACACACACACACTGAACTTACATCGACGAAGATGTAGTAGGCCACTGGCACACTTGACTTCATGTGTTTCGTCCTCTCACTAAAGTAGACAATCTGCCACGAGTACCCGCCTTGGCAGACGCGGCCATTGGCCTGACTGGTACCGCGCTTCAGCAGAAATTAAAAGCGTATTGTCGACACAACAGACATTGCCGAAAACGCCCTTTAATTCACAATGTACCTGGTAAGATGGTTGCGGCAATCAGCACTGGAACAATGTTATCAGGCGTGAGCAAACATGCATTCAGTTGCTTCACTTGAATTTACTTCGCGAAGCTGTGCTCGTGTAGACATCGATGCCAAGCGATCCAATATGAACTAATGCCTTTCTGCGCAAAAATCAAGTTTTTTGCATTCGATTAATTGAACTTTTGAGTGCTGTTCCCTGCTGCTTCGTGGCACTACAAACTGGCGAACCCTTATAAGATCTACGATAAAAACGACCTTCATTTTGCTAGGAAGGCGTCGGCATTAAACTTCACCCCTATTTTGGCCAATTTTGACTGCTAGGTGGTTCGTCGTTTCATAAGACAAATGTCAGTTAACATGTCAAATACCCACATTGGCTTGCGGGTGACAAATGGCCTAATACACAGTTTAATTGCAAAATTTTCTACATCACAGTGTCGTCAATTAGATTACAGCGAACTGTTTGTGTGGTTGATAGGTGGATCCATTATCGATTTGTGCAATTTAGAGAAAAATGCGAATAGTTATTGAACGTGGGTTCAGTTAAGTAATGCGCGATCGGCTTCGCTTGTTTGCATGATCAAATGGGTTCATACGAAGCGATGGTTTGCAAGTAATGTTATTTTTGTGGATGCGCTAACACATCCTGACTGTGTCAACTTTACTATTAATCAAAATTTTGAATAATATGACATTGACAATGCGAAAGGTGATGAATAATTAGGCATGCATATTCCGAGCTGGCAATTCAAGTTGTCGTGAAGAAAACCTTACCGCAATGGATCAATGACATTATTGAAAGGTGATTGCAGGCTTGACCACTTTAATACAGCCATTTTGCTATTAAAGTTGATCAGTAGACTACAACCTATGTCACGACGTTGTGTGTTCGTTCACAATTGAAAATGTCGCACACATTCAACGCATTGGACGCCTAATATAAGCCACTTGGACCATCAATTATAGGCTGCCTTCTCCACACACGGTACCTTTAAGAAATGTACAAACATCTGCCATTTATATTAGGCAGAACTTGGTAAAATTTGCCAGAGGTGACTGACTGTGCTGTTGTCTTGCACTAGCATGAATGACTTCTTGATATTCCTACTAGTAAAGAGTTATAGGTCAATTTTTGCAGTGAAATATTACGTCATAGTGGAAAAAATGTCGTGTAAATCGAGGCCTAAGCAACGTTTCCCCACAATTTGAACCCACACATACAGAAACGTCTCAACTGCTTAAGTCTTGTTCCGTCCTTAAAAATGAAAAATCAGCATAATCAAATGGGCCATTCAGAGAAGTACGTTGTGACTGCGGTGCGCACATTGCCTGCAATCAGCCCAACACTCGACCGTCTCACATCGACACTCACTAATTCACTGTTCAGGAAGACGTGACTGTGGAGGAGAGCCTTACGTTGAATTTATCTCAATGCAGCACCGTGTTAATAAATGCCCTGCTGTCTCAATTAACCCTACGTCCTTATCATTCAGGAGTTTACCCTCCAGACAGATTTTTTCAATTTCAAATTTTATTTTTTAAGCACACGTATTTCCGTAGAAAAGGGCAGAAATATGGTGTCATATTCAGCTTTGAGGAAGATCAGCAGCGAGATAAACTCAAGACTGACTTAGAACGCGGAGTCGGAAGGGCGCCACTTGTCGAACACTTCGGAGGTGTGGATTGCTATGTTGCACGCCTATTCCTCATACATGGACACGGATAGTTTTTTGCTTATAGAAATCTTAATTTATCTGCCAACATCCCCAAGCTATGCAAAAGCATCACCACTTCTGGCTAACGTTGTGCCATTGACGCGATGAACAAACACCTTGTGTATTGTCCAAGATGTAGCAATACGCACGAAATACTTCCAGTGGCCACTTTCTATTCAAGACAGCCATTCGGACTAACTTGTATACTATAAGATATGCTACGCCACTTTCCCCTGTTTCTGAATACCCACATGATAAACTCGAACAATTGTTGCAAGTTTGATCAATTGAATACGGGCTGAAATTACTTGCTGCTATGTGTTAATATTGCTTTACTAGTTATAATTACCGACTCCGAACTAAATGACGTTTTTGTGAACGGACTCACCGGGAGCATTTGAGGGTCGGCGACCCACAGAGTCCCAACTTTAGACTGCACGTTTAAATATGAAGGCACCTATCTTTTTCCGAGTCGATTATGAGGACACATAGTCAAAGAATTGGCTTAACCACTTTCCGTGATCTCATTGCCATTTCTTTGTGCATTCCTTTCTTGCACCATAAAAATTTACCCAAGTAGTGAACTTCCACACCACTTCATGCACCAGGCAATTTGATCAAGTCAGCTTTCGACAACAAACCTGTGCTTTCATTGATGCCTTCTTCATCAACAAACTAGCCCATATCCCTCATGTCACCGCAGGCATGCTGATGCCGCCTCGGAACATGTGTGCGTGTTGACGAATTTCGATAAATCGGTTACAACGAAGCCACTAAATTCGTGAACGATTATTGGATGGGATTGTAGTAAATTAACGCTCTACACACTACTTTCAGTGGACGACATGGGTGGGCTTCATGTAGTGTCTGCCTCATGTCGGATATACCGCGGTTTTGTCCACGATGTGATTTAAGAGTACAATGGACTCCTGTACACCTCATCATTCAACATTTGTGCAATTTTAGGGATGTGTTCTAGTAAAATTTACTTCCATTTCTGTGTGCTTTCGCACAAAACCGGTGCATTTGAATGCACTTATTTGTATGTCTCTGGTGGTGATGTGATAAAGTAGCGCCAGAATAAGCATTGAATTTTTTTATATAATAAATTGGAGTGAGTGAGGACAGAAAAGTATTCCACAGGAAAAGAATCCTAGGCGGTCAAAGCTTGTTTCCGCAGAAAATATTCCATCACAGTTTCACCTTAATGGACACTTGTAAATGTTTTAGTGTCCACAAATTGCCTCTGAAGTAGTCGATCGGCACATTGGTCTGAATGCTTTCGAATTTCAGGCACTGAAATCAGACCTACTCTGAGTGCTATGCACACGCATATTCGCTGGTGGCAGAAGTGTGAAGGCCAACACCTGTTGGATTTCGAATGGGCGGACATCTAGTTGTTCATAGCCTTGAGATTTCGGGTTGTCTAACGCACTTTGTAAGCGTCACCTAAATGTAACCTACAACACGTTAGGCAGAACCCAACTGTTGTCACAGTGGCCGATCTTGAATTGTCGTAATGAAAGCTAGTCATTATCTCTTCTGCCCGCAGTTCCTTTTAGAGTTGAGAAAATTGTGCGGTGACCAATCTTCTTTAAATTTGCGTAAGTGGAAGCATTCGTAGTGAACAAATAACTACCATGTTCGATTGAGGAACGATGCAAAAATCCCAATTAGCACACTCCAAAGTACGAGTGCTCAGTTATTCCTAATGTTCACTTTGGACTATCGCGACACACCAGACTAATTACCAAGAAACGGGAAGAAATGTTGGACAATTCTAGCAAGTTGGCGCTTGCATAGAAAGAATCCGCGGTTGTTCTCGTGCAACTGATCGTGTGTGGCCGTGGTACCGCGATCCGTGGTTACTTCACGCAAATTGCTGACAAGGCGTTTTTGTGAGTCGCGTTGGTTCACACTCGTTAATCCAATCACACCTGCCTCCGACACAGGGTCCTCCTTTTCACAGCATGTCACCAGCCGCGCTGATCCTCAGCTCCGCCCTCATCCTCACACCTAGGTCTCGATGCTAGCACATTAGTGACTCACACTGTTTCACACACCTGAGCTATCAATACATAAGAGCAAATGCCACCTACAACACAACGACACCAACTCGGCTGAGCTCTGAAGTAAACGGTTGTGTCCACGTCCTCACCGGTCTTTTTCTTCATCGCAGGTAGCAGGGAAACGTAATCGGGCCAAAGTTAATTCAGTGGCCCCGGCGTGGCCCAATATCACATGCTGGAGACTACATACTTTATTGATTTTTGGCATCCCAATTTAGACAGCGGTCGCAGTGTCCATCAGAAGGCCACTGTGAAATCCCCACAATTACAACCCAAGCTATCGTATACACCAACAGAAAACTCCATCATAGTTTGGTTCCTTTCCGACCGTAATAATGAAAACTCAATCAAATGGGATATTCAAAACTATACCTCGGAGTATCCATGTCAAAAAGACACAGCATCAGTTCCGACAGTACTACAGGGTCAAAGAACGTTGATTTGTTGCAGAAAACTAAAGTCGTATATAAATATGTACACGGGAATAGTGGCAGGGTATTCGGATCACGAGATACGCATCATCTTTGCCTGCTTCTTCTCCTCCAGCTCCTTCTTGCGCTCGAGCACGTCGATTTCGCGCTGTTTCATGAACTCCGCGTAGCTCTCAGGCGTGTGGCTGGCAGCCTCCGAGCGCGACAGCACGTCGATGCCCACACGATGCGCCTCCGAGATGAGACTGGCGCATATCGATTGCAACGAGGACGCCTGCGAGGCTGGATCCTCCTTCTTGAGCAATGCGATCTCGTAGATGTGCTTCAGCGTCAAGCGGCCCGAAACCTCGGAACCTGGGGATGGAAAAAGCGACTTCTTTTGAATTTACCATCTGAAGGACGCTACTTCGACTTCACTGTGCGTCACTCAATTGATCAGTTGTGGGACTAGTGACGAATAAAGTAGCGCATTTTCAAAATAGTCCGAAGCGATCAGTAGATCACCTGACGCAATCACTCACCGCCAAACACGAAGTAAATTTGAACGTGACGTTGTTATTATAAAGAAACAGATTCAGGCTCGCGTGTAGCTCACCGCGAGATCCTGGCTAATGATGGTGTTTCTTCCGCATTTCGTGCCATAACTGGATCAATAAAGCTGACGCAAGTAGATTCAAATTTCGATTGCTGCATTGGGTTTGAGTCAGTGTAAACCGAGCCCAGCCAGTAGGAAACATGTCCAACCTAGATTTGCCGCCGTACATAATTAACATGCCATTTATCACGGCCATCCGCAAGGACTGCATCGAATACATCCAGGGAGTGGTGAAGAAGACGCCATGCATGGCAACCGCACTATACTACGTAGTCGACGAGCACCAAGCGCTGTGCATGTTCGACGGCGTGGTGCACTACCCCATCATCCTGCTCATGACGCCTTTCGCCTTCGCTATGCTCTTCAACAGCAAGCGAGTTCTCCGTTTCTTCATGCAAACCACCAACACCATGAATGCGCCGTGCTACATCGCCGACAGCCTCGATCCACAGGGTGTCTGGTACAACCAGTACCGTCTGATTGAGTTCTCGCCGCTCTTTGTTCGACGACCCAACCCCGACCTCTACAATACACTGCGTGAATTCCAGTTCAATTTCAACGGCAAGCACACCCTTAAGTGCACCACCTACGAGAAGAAACGCAAGGTTAGGGAGAACGCGATGACGGCTGAGAGCCCATGGGAGGCCTTGTGGTGTGTGTGGAATGAGTTCCGGAATCCGGCAATTATGCTAGACTGCTCGTCAGAGCTCTTTATCGCCGGCTGTGATGTGCGCAAACTAGCTGCGAGGATAGACTTGTCAAAACTCCTCACTGAGTGCCGATCCACGCGCACGTCCAACACGCACATCGCCTACTTCTTGCAGCTCACAATATTCCATGGAGTTGACCTGCAGGTGTCAGACGTCCTCGCCAATTACCTTAATGCCATACTCCAACTGACGACAGTTGAGGGGTGCAATGATACAGTGCGTAAGAATCTTTTTATCTCTGTCTATAACCTAGGAGGGGACCGATGCCTGGACTACGAAGACGTCATCAAGACTTTGCAAAAGCTCATGCGCATAGCCACTCTGCCCATACACGACCAACGCTCGCTCCAAATGACGTGCGTCCGGCGAATTCGTCAGATTCTTCCTGGCTCTGGTTTCTACAGCACGGTGTGGAAGATGAAGCTGCTCAATGAGTCTTCAAAGAGAGTCCTCATGACCGGACTCATCAAGCATAAGCAGCCTCCACAGACGACGGAGGAAATCGACGCGCAAAAGCAGGTGAAAACGCCATGGAAGGTGAGAAAGTCGAAGCTCATGTCGGAAGTGCCTCCCATCCAAAATGGTGCTGGTGGTGGCGAGGAGATGGTGCCGCCCACCACCCCCGAGGCTCCTTTAGTACCAGTCAGACGAGAGACACCCAGATATAAGCCTGACGAAATTTCGTCGGTCGAGAACTCCGAATACAAGGAGGGATTTGACAAAACGGTGATTTCCAGTGAATCGGAAGTGCCAACGTATCGCACCATCCATGGAGGTGTTTCGACCACATCAGATGATGGAGAGACGGAGTGACGGAAATAGGCTGATTCAGATTAAATTTTAATACCTGTGACAGCACGCATTCATACAACTTGGGATAATGGCATTAGATTGTTAGATTATAATACGAAATTAATACAAGGAGCTAAAATCAGAAGGGTGGGAATAATTTGATTAAAACAGAAAACGGGCCAGAGGATTAATAGGGGAAGTTTAAATCACTGCCGGTGTCCCGTCAACCTGTTATTTCCCTGAAATCGGATCGTCGGATTAGCACATACATGAGAGTCTACGAAACTACACGAATGGCTTAGTGTTTAGAAAAATTTTCATAAACATTCTAAGAATTGCGAAGTCAAAGTTGTACTTAATCCTACAAAAGTAAATTTTCATGCCTGCTAACCGAATAACTGATGGAGAGGTTTAAGAAGACGCAAGAGTGAATAAATGCGATAGAATTGAAAAATGTGTCAGTTAAAAACGCAATGTCGACTAACCCGGAGTGGCGGCTCCCTTTTTTGCGCCAGCCGCCATGCGAAGGAGATATTGTGAAGGCGGATGGGACATCTGAAGTTTGTAGCTTCGATCGGGCTATCGAAGGAGAAGTGGATTAACGACGCAAACACGCAACTTACGTTGATGAAGATATCACAGGGAACTGGCACGCCTGCTTTTATGTGCTTCGTCTTCTCATTAAAGTCTTTGCAAAAGTTGGCAATATTGATGTTGCGCTAGAGAAAGCATGGACTGCTGCAAGACAAGACACGACAACATACCTTGCCCAATTGTGGACCCAGTGGAGGTGCTGGCTTAGCTTGCTGAGCTGGAACATAAATCCTCAAGTAAGGCGGGTGTTTAACCGTGTCTAGGGCTGCTTTGGCTTTTTTGCCCATTTTCGTCGCCCGAGAAGCCATTTGCTACCTGAGAGATCAAAAGGAATGTTCAGGGAAAGGGTCACTAAGTGGTTGAGAAAAAAAGGCTTCTTCACATTCGGGTATTTCAACATAAATTAGAATACATGCATAAAAACAAAAGGGTCACGCAAAAGCGAAAGCAAACCAAAGATTATACGACGCATATTGCAAATTAAGGAAACAAAAGGGGATAATCATGTTATGTTATCGTACAAAGCAGATATTACAGAAGCACAATCTTTACTTTCTGGAAAGTTTTTAAAACATTGTAACATTTTCAATACAGTCTGGGAAATTGTTATTGGACGAATGTGTCTGAAAGTTACGTCGATACCAAAATAACAACCATTGCGAATGAAGTTTTTCAAATTTTTTGGATTCGTCCTTCGTGTTAAAGGAGATAAAAACATCCTAGTTAGTAAAATAAAAAAACCGGAAAGCATCGGAATAAAATATAACGCGAGGCACGGGT